AGCGCCCTTGCCGAGAGTGATGCGGCCATCATTTCCACGGCACTCGCGGAGGTGAAGACTGCAGACGAGCTTGCCAAACTTCTTGCCGTCAGATTGCCGGGCTTCAGCTGCGAAGACAGAGAGGCAGCTAACTACATTCCAAGAGGCACTCTCTACAGCTGGTGTCATCGTCAGCAGGTCAAGAACTGGTTCGGGCAAAAACTCCCACCCGCGACTTGGCAAGAGGAGCACGGCCACTACTTCGCCGTCCTCAGCAACAAGCCTAAGCAGCGGCCCGACATGGAACCCGAAAGCGTAGACCTCGACGTCAAGTGGTTCACCAGCGGATCCTGGACCTTCTGTCCACACTGCGGTCGACACCAAGCTCGAACATTCACGGCGGAATGGTCGATCACGGACTACAAAGCTGATCGACCCTGCAAGCCCTGCTGTGACCCGGACGCGCTCCACTTGCTGCGTTCGCCACAATGCCAGCTGCCCTTTGGCAAACTCATGGGCTACGTGACGCCGATGCCGCAGAACTGGCTGCCGTGGATTTGTCATCTGCAGGGCATTGGCTTGCCTCTTACGACCCTGCTTTCGGAGAAGGAGATCCACGACTTGGCCCTCGCAGACATCAAGGTTGACTTCGCCACGAAGCGCGGCGGACATGCAGAGGTGGTCAGCAGGCAGAAGAAAACGGTGGTGCGCTGCGTCTGGCGACCTCGCTCGCTGCTGGATCTCCCGCGCAGCCCCGCGGCCCAAAAAGCTTTCGAATGGCTCATGGACAACAACACCACATACAGAGGATATGTGGAGAAGCATCACTCACTCCTTGCGGCCGGCGAGCCAAGAGAGATTCAGACAGCGTCATTGCTGTTGCAAACTCCGGGAATCGAAGTCGCCGTGCGACCATGGCTGTATCCGCTGACCAGCTTTGCGGACAGCGACCTGCAACTGCGGCTCCACGCACTTGGCTGGACATCCGAGAACTCAAAGCCAAGTGTCCGAGCCGGATTCCTTCGCAAGATCCTGAGCCGATGCATGGAGTACAGTCGAGATTATCCTTTGAAGGCCTTGTACTACGACCTGTGCATGGCACATACCATTTCGGCGGTCGTGAGCATCGGCATCAAGCAGAAGGTCGCCCCGGAAATCATTGCCAGCGACATGGACATCTTTGAAGGCTACTGGTACCAGCAAATCAGAAAAATGGAAGACATTTGCAGGCTTGAGCACGAGCGCGCGGGACGACTGGACCAAGCACTACCAAA